TGATTTTATTCTGTATCATTATGTATTTAAAATATCAGGTTATTTCAGAAGCCTTTGCGAATTTTTCCGGGAACTTTTTTTAACGATCAATGTAAGTTCATTTTTGTCAACGACTTGTTTGCATTCTTTTACCAATTGCTGGATTATAGTCTTCAAATATTTGCTGTCGATACTTGGACGTCCACAGCGCTCCTGATCTTTGAGATTAAAGTCACTATTACGGAATTTGGAAATACCAATATTGGCAATCATTTCTGTCGCACACTTTGTAAATATTTCCAGTAGTCTGTACAGCATTTACGCCTTTGTTGTATCCATGAAGTATACGGTTCCTTATGTGCATTTCATTAGCGTTCATTGTTGGAACTGAACGTACCACCCCCTCGCTTTAAAGTCGGTTTACTAATAGAATATTGACAGTACACTGATGCACGGAAAAGGAAACAAAGGCTGAAGTGGTGTAAATAAAAGACAAACACGTAAAATTATGTCACAACTGCGATACGAAATACGCAAAGTTTTTGAAATGACCTGATAGCAAAATTGATTACCAAGTTTACTTAAATTCTTCGTTCAATATAAACTAGGAATTAAAAATATGAGACCAGTTTTCAAACAAAACAAAACTATTTTATAACGGTTTAGTGACAATTATGGTGTATAAATCATTCGTGTTCAATTTTAGTGTCTAAATTTTAATAAATCATGCAAGATAGTTTTTGGAAAAACATACTTCCTTCTGTAATTTTCTCCAGCCTAAAGTAAGATTTGTACCATTTTTATAAACACAGTATGTTTGAAATGGAAAGTTTTTTATCCTTTCAAACATAATTACATAACAAATAAAGACGAACATATATCTTTGACTGTGGGGAATCATATACATATATTCTTCCTTTGGTGGTCTGGTTATTTATTTTTTTTGAGGGGGGGGGGTGGGTGCCGTACTACTTCAATCAGGACGAAATCAGTTACAAATGTCAGCTAAATACTTACCTCTCCTTATTATTCCATTAATCTAAGCAGGCATTTCTTTAGTATAGTTGAATATTAAAAATATTTCTATTTACAATAAAATATTATGGAACGTATTTGCGTGCACTTTTTTTATTCATATTTCAAACGAAATGAATCAATAAAAAAATACTACAATAAGTGGAATATATAATAATATTCTGGAGGATTATAGAAATACATTTATATTATAAATGCTACTTATTCCATAATTTTATGAAAGGTACGTTCATGCGTTTACAAATAAAACGCACATGTAACTTTTGCTTCAAATTACTCTTCATTTACTCCTAACAGAGTCATTACGCAAAATTACTTTAACGTTAGCCATAGTAAACCTCATCACATCAAGTGACGTGTTTCCTGCGTTGCTCGCGGGTTAATTTACAGCACTAACCTAACACTGAGTTCTACAGAATATTTGAGATACTCAATCCTGTCTCTAGAAGCAACTTACTGCATAGTGCAAATACCTGTTACGGATGAACGATCGAGGGAAAGACGAAAATTTGTACTGAAGGTGCATCCTTCTATATGTGTTTTAAGAACAAAATTTTAGAAGGATAACATTCTGAACTGAAACATTACAATGCCTTAAGTTTATTTTCCAAGTTAGAATATTTTCACTTTAATCTAAGGAAAGTTAATTTTCCATTCAAATTCATTACAAGGTTTCCCCTTATAAGCCTGGAAAATCAATTTTTCTCCCTCATGAAACCATCGACCAAAAGTAACCATTTTGAAATTAAATGAAAGTATTATCTTTCAGTGTGTTTTAGTTACTTTGCACAAAAAGTAGACTTGAAAGTTACTATATAAAGTGGACGATCAGCATCATTCCTCTAGAGTTTCCATAAAAAACACTCATCAAAAACGAAATTAAATATGTTCACATCGAAAAATAATTACTTCTGCAAACACATCGTTCATCATTTTCACTCTCGTTAAATTTCTCACTTCCACTATTAAAAATTAACTAAATGCAATTGTCCGTTTGAGTTACTTTTTGATTCGTACAACTTTGCATCAAATCCTTTCAATAACAACAAAATCGATTTTAATAGTTACTTGACGAGTTTATGGAAATATTTGCAATTACGATAGAATATGTTCGGTTCCGATAAGAAACGGGTGTGCCATTAATCCAGCGGACGTAATCAAGACAAATGCGATAAATCGGAATGTCTGTTCGCAAGAAAAATTTTTGTTCCCATAAAAAGCACGAACCTGCAAGAAAGCCGAGCACGGACGAGCTGATGTGAGCTTTCACATTCACGGGGGCTCGCTTTATTGAATCACCGTTAATTCGACATCTCACGGCTCTTCAATCACCCCGGGAGCGTATTAGAAGCGATCGCGATAGAAACTCTTTGCAGATAAAAGAGAAGAAGGTGGATGAAAGATGCCCACACTGAATGCCAGGCTTTCTGTCAATAGTCGAAGGAAGTCCGAAAGTTCTGAACCACTCGGTGGAAAAGGCTCAAGAGGCCGACACACGACGTATAAAAGGGAACAAATATCTACTGGCATTGATAAATAGGCTATACCGTACCGTGTGTGTCATGGAACGAGATAGAAGGGCACTCGATTCGATGATCGTTACAAAGTCAGAGGCCTGTAAACGTTCGAATAAACGAGTACCTATCGAGTGGTCTTCAAAACGTGCAGTGACAAATATAAATATGAAAACGATCTGTTAATTGTCACCTGCTCTTTCATCCACGTTTCTTTCCACGAGTATATTTGTAAACTCGATTACATGTATACATCAATTAACTTTGAACGTATGACGAACGTTTGACACAAACACGTCCTTCGTTTATTTGAATTTAGTTGCTTGAAATCTTGTCAAAACGGTTCTTGTTTGTAGATACGTTGATTTATTACATCCATAATTTCTTAAACATTGAACTTTCCATTATCGAATTTTTTTATTCCTTTTGTGAATGTACAATGTACTCTATTCAATTGCAGAGTGTTAAGTAAATGTGCTGGAAGCAACTTGACTTGACACGAGATATTGTCCTTTGACAAATCACTATTAATTATTTCAATTTTGCTTGAGTCTCTATTATGGAATATGTGAAAACTTATGTTTATTTCTCTGGTGAACATAATAGCATTCGAATGCATCGTGTTTTACTGGTTACAATAATTTGTTATAATTTCAGTATAACCTGTTATTGTTTGGAATGAAATCGTTCAAACAGAATAGCAGATTGTGGCAGGAATAACTTAAAAATCTATAAAATTGTTTAGTTAACTTGGCCAGTTCTTCTTTTTCTTCAAGCTATGAATTTGTAAAAAATGAATTGTAATTTTACTTTGATTGATATCTCAACTCTTCAAACGTATCTAAGAAATCATTAAGTCACAAAAGTAAATAGTCCTTAAATGTGACTTCTAAAATCCTTACTAATTCATTAATAAAAATTTGAGAAATTATTGATTTATGAAAGGAAGTTGAAGTCACTATTGAAGAAACTATAGAAATTTGTGTATTTAATTGCTCGACTGTAAGAAATGGGAGAGATTTGAAAATTCAAAGATTTCGAGATCAAGATGTTCGAATTCGATTCCGTATTGTAAAAAGTTCTTGGTAGCAGTAAAACATTTAATAAACTACCCTTTCATGGTCCGAACAGTCCCGAGCTTTGAATAAATTATCAAGAGCAAATCATCGGTTCGCCGTTGGCTTTGCAAGTAACTCATAACGGACAACCTTAGAATAGGATAATAGTTCAATTGTGCCGTCAAGTGTATCGTTGTATAACATGCATGATTGTTTGAACGACGATTGTTCGTCAGCGGTCATTAGACGAGTCAGAGGGGTAGGTGACTCGTCGACCTGGCTGTTCTCAGCTTTACGACTTTATACCAATAATTAAATAGAGAAATTTGGTCTATTATACGCATGCAGCCCAGTTGGAAACCCCGGGGAATTTATAGGGTGAGTAACAACAATTCATTTCAGGTTCCCATAATATAAATGATTCTTTTAAAATTGCATTTATTCAAAAGTCCATTTTAAATGCATTAGAAACAATGAAATCATGAATTTACATGCACGTAAGTCATCATTTATAGAATTTATAATTCATGAAGGCGTTAATTTATAAATCATCAACATTACAGAAATAGAAACAACCAAAATCTATTCCAATTTCATTAATATCATTTTAACAATTTTAAAATACTTTTATCTAACTACGATAGAATTTTGAAAATTAAAATTATTATCGTAAGCCTGTATGAATATACACTGTTACTCAACATTAGGAATTTAAGGAAATAAATTCAAGTAACACCAAATAATTTTTGTCATTCACGAAAGTTGAGAATTAAAAGCTTTAGTAGTTACTTGTTCAAATAGTAACTTCTAAAGAAAATATTTTACCGTTAATCGAGGAGTGATTCTATACTTACAGCTGGCAGTGTAGATAGCCCCTCATAAGTATAAATTTCGAAAAATATTAGAAACCGCGGATGTTTATATAAATTTAGATTCTTCCGAGCCCTTGACTCACTGGTATGTACCATAAACGCATAAATTCTCAAGAATTACGACATTATTTAATATTGTCTATCATTGGTACAATTTTATTAAGTCACAATCGTTTGACCAAAGATGAACTAAAAAGTGATTGCTGTACCGACCTATATTTGTTAATATTCTTTCAACGATTTCTATTAACCACTCAAGTTGCTACTAATACTTCAAAAACACCATGTATTTGTAATTGTTTTACAAATAGTTACTATTTTTCATTCACCTTTGGTCAAACGATAGTGATTCAATAAAGTTGTACCAATGCTCGACGATATTAAATACGGTCGCAATTAGACTTGAGATTTTATACATTCATGACAGACACTACTGTGCCAAGGATCTTGAAGAATCGAAATTGACATAGACATCCACAGTCTGTAATATTTTTCAAAGTTCATACTTATGAAAATCGAATAACGATTATTTGCAATTTTAGACGGAAGGCATCGCGATGAGGCCAGGTCTGCCAGGAGAGAAGGGTGAAGGAGGCACACCAGGAAGTCCAGGGCCAAAGGGAACTCCGGGTATTCCCGGTCCCAAAGGAAACAGAGGTGAACCAGGACTGAAAGGGGCAAGAGGTGATCACGGAAAGGAAGGTTCAAGAGGAATTCAAGGATTCAAAGGCGAGCCGGGCGCCCCGGGTTCACCGGGACTTCCTGGAGCACCTGGTGAAAATGGAAGACCGGCTGAGAAAGGTGACAAAGGCGACACAGGACCGGAGGGGAAACCAGGTCCTCCTGGAGCTCCTGGACCCCCAGGCTCGACTGCTCTAAGTGGTCCTGGGGGAATAAGCGTTGGTGAAACAGGTAAGAAATGATTCACCATTTTCTGTCTTACAGGTAGAGAAAATGAATGAAATCTAATTTTCTCCCCTATGATTTTAGATTTGTATAGGATAACTGGATGAAATAAGCAGGTGCACTGCCACATAAATGATAACAATGAGTATATCTCTGGTGGACGGGCAAGAGTTTTGCAGAAAAGCACTTATAATATTTAATATTTAATAGAATATTTAATATTGTAAGTACTTCTCTGCAAAACTAATCATTCTGACTTATACTCTTTTATCCATCTACCAGAGACATATTTCAATGTACACACCTGAATATTTTCCAACAACGTCTTATACAAAACTCTGCACTCTATATTCTGCTCTCTGTTCGCTCTAAAATCTCTTTCCACACGTCTTGTTGTTACTTCGCTCGCGCTTTTCCCGTGCATTTTCTCCTTCCACACAGAAACACACCCGTATGCATCCCATTTCCTGTCCATTCTGACCTAACACTTTTTTTTCATTTCCAGAAAGAGTTCCATCACGCACGCTTAAAGCCATCTATTCGTCCCACGCAATCGAACGCATAAACAGAACGTTCAGTGTCTGCATTCGCACCTAAATATGAATCAGACCAGACCCAAACATTCTCCAACTTCAGTGACCGAAAATTTACGCTTGCTACCAATATTCACACGCATCTTTCCATTCCCACAGTTTCTTTTTAGACCATTTAATGCACAAATCCCTGTTCTAATTGATATCGACAAAATGTATCGTGATTAATGGCTGAGACGTAATGAAGTTAGTGATTAATGATTATACTTTATTACTTACGGGGGAATATTTCCACACGGTGGTTCGGTTAGCAAAACAAAGGTCAATTAGTCGAGCCTTTCTCAATGTCAGAATCATGTGCGAAACGTTAGCTGTTCACGGAGTTAATTATTAGTGTAATTATTACGTTAGTTTTTCGAGTAAATTTCTTTTTCACCAACAGTTTGATATAAACCGATTTGAGATACCAGGTTTAATGGAAAACGCACAATCACGTATTAGCAACGATTCGTATAAGTAGAAATAGTCAATAATAGACATACGCTACCGGCAAAAAGTATGGGCCCAGGTATGACAATTAAAGAAAAATAAAAATATTACTCTATAAATACTTGATAAAAATAATATGCTAAAATTGATTGGAAATGATTTGTATATTTACTGAATGTAACTTTTATTATATTCTAACGGAATAATAAGTTACTGTTCCATCAATCATGAACTCTGGTCCCATACTTTCAGCCGGTAGTGTATGTACATATTACCTGCCTTATTTAAAAGTATAATCCATACTATCTTAAGAAACATTCTTTACTTCTTTCCATAATGTTGCGCCATGTTGGAAAAGTAAAAGAACAGAAACATATTCTTATGTTAAACTGTTCTTTCCCCTTGTTGAACCCATACTATTCCTTACTGATACACCTAATAAATTCGATCTTCTCACACGAGATCTTTTAAAGAAAATTTAGGAACTCGTAACAAAGATTGTTTTTCAAGAGTCCATCAATTTTATTTTCAAAATAAATTAGTCCATAGGTTGTTTTTGATAATGTAGTTTCCACCATCTCCCTTCTAATTATTAGAATCTATTGTTATCACAAAAACCAAAACATTTAACAAAGTTCATTTTCGTCAAGAACGCCTCAATTATTAACACATTTTTAATTTATTACCTCAACATTACTTCAGAACCAACGTGAATAATACACTCCTGAAGGAAACAAACTATGTAGACTTGAATTAACACTCCTTTAATACATAATCCTTTTGCAATCAACTGCTTTTCATTGATTAGGGTTAAGAGAAAAAGGCGATAAAGGTGAAGTTGGTGGACGCGGTTACAAAGGAGATAAGGGTACCAAAGGCGAGAAAGGGGACAAGGGTGACTCTGGACCGGCTGGAATTCCTGGTGTGAATGGTATTCAGGGACCTCAAGGCAACAAAGGTGATCCGGGGAAGGATGGAGTTCCCGGGACATCAGGAATCGTTGGTGTAAAGGGTGAAAAAGGCGAGCGAGGTCCACCAGGAGCCACGGCTATATCAAGCTCCGGTGACTACATTACTATCAAAGGAGAGAAGGGAATGGAGGGCAAGAGGGGCCGAAGAGGACGTCCTGGACCGCCTGGTCCTGTGGGACCACCGGGAAAACCAGGAGTTATGGGAGAAATTGGGTTGCCTGGATGGGTGGTATGAGAAAATTTTTGTGATTTTTCTATCGATCAATCCTTCTCCGACGGAACTTTTCTCATTTTACCTTTTTACGTGCAAGAAGAGTTTGAGGAGATAATACCTAATAATAATAATATTATACAGGGTGTTAATAAAAATGTGGGAAACGTTTACAGGGTGGATTCTACACACCAATCTAAGATCAAAATCAAGAATAACGAAATTCTGTTCGGGACAATTTCGTCATTTTTAATTTGGCATGTAGTCTACTCTATGAAAGTGTCAACATTTTATTTACACCCTGTATAATATGATTTTGTATTAAGTTTTTCCATGGAGAATGTAGCTTTTCTGGGATCTAATAATCTAGCGGAACAAAGGAACGGATTAAAGTATTGACGATGTAAAGCTGGAGGTTTCAGATAAAACTGGTATCCATTGAAATTTCTTTCAATACCGTAATAAATATTGATGAGTATTGGTTAAATAGTTGTTTTATTCTGAGAAATTGAAGGAGCGAGTGGCTAGGGATCATCTTTTATATATCGTATTTTACAAAATCGAAAAACAGATACCTAGATGAAGTCGAAAGTTTCCTACATGAAAATGTACTCTGACAAAATAGTCAAAAAGGATTATAAGAAGCATTCCAAAAGCTACATTAGTTTATGCGAAAATATAATATTTAGTATTAGAAAAAGAGATATTTTTTCTACGTTTTCCGTTAACTGTTTGTTTAAAATGCAAGGAAGAAAATGATTCATATAAGGTTTAATATATTTTTGTCTTTAGTACAAAATTACGTTTATAATATTTATTAAATAATATATAAAAAATACAGCATTCTTATCACAAATCTGTATAGTATTTAAGATTGTTTCAAAAATTACAATTCTAAAATTATGATTCTCTTTTTCGAATGCTGAACACAGAACTCTATGAAAGTAAGTATTCCAAATAGTTTAATACATTATTAAATAAGAAGAATCTTACCTTTCCATCACAAGCATTTTCTGATATAATATGAGATGTACCAGTCCACGATTTTTATCGAAATTCAATATTTGTTTCGAAAAAAATCTCCTATGAATATTCGTCATTGTTTCCATAATCTCGCACAATTTTTATCAAGCACAAATACAAAGAATATATCGAACGTAAACTATATTACAAAATTACCAGAAGAATAGTAAATTATTCATTAGTATTCTAATTATTAGAAGTAGCAAATTACTTTGAAAATATTACTATACCGTTTAAAGAGGATAAAAACCAGAATGGAAAGTGTATTATGAATAAAATATATAATATAAAAAAGTATTAATATAAAGTATAATCATGAGTTATATTTTTTTTTTTATAAAATTACGATCACGTATGGCGTGATTTCGTTCATCGGAAGAAACTTTACTAACAACCCAATAATGGTATCGAATCATCCTATTCGCTTTGATTGCTTCAAATAACGATACATATAGGATATAACAATTATCCCGATAAAAATCGAAATCTCAGTAATCGACTGAACGCATGGAAGACTGAGTTACACGTGAGATTAATTAAAGGGTTAATGAACATAGAATATTCATGGGAGGCAGGTAGAACATGAGCGTTATGTATCGGTAACTACCTGTAACAGGGCCGTCCTGGTACTCCTGGACTTCCCGGACCTGTTGGACTAGGAGGACCTAAGGGGGAAAAAGGAGAGCCCGGTACACCGAGCCCTTACGGAGTTTCTGTCGGTGTAAGTACAATTTACCGTCCCTCATCAAAATCAGAACTCCGAATTGCTGGACAGTTGGCAATAAACTTTCAGGTTATATGTATTTTACGAAAGTTAACGTCGACCACGTTCTGGTGTAACGTGTCAAATATGTATGTACATTTTATTCATACCTCCAGAGGAACAAACCTCGAACACAAGGCACACAATAATCGTAACTTTTCTTCAAATTTATTTGTTAGGAATTGAACGAAAAATCCTAATTATATTTATGAAATACTTGACTATAAAGATACAATTAACCATTTCATACCGTTGCGTTCGTATAGTTTAATATTTTTAATCGTACAGTTTAATATTTTTCCGTTAGATAAATACTTTATCGAACATAATATTTAGGAATTGTTTAATGAATATTCGTTTTTGTATATGAACACTTCTGTATTTATTTTTTTCTTCTAATTTTCCTGTTTTTCTGACATCCATAAAACAACTATACGGAAAAAAAATTTGTTTTTTGTTTGAAGAAAATAATTCAGGTCGAAAAGGGTTAATAACAATTTTAGAAGTATAATATTTACAAAACACTCTATAGGCTGTTCATTTTAACGGTATCCATGATTTTTCAGCAATTTGCGACTGCGTAGTAAGCACAAGTTATTAATCAAAATTTATCTGGTTAAAGTGAACAATGTATCACGATAATGAATATTTCGAAAATGCTTTTTTTCACAGTGAACCCTAGGTCACCTTGAATTTCTTAAATGGGACCATATCATTTTCTTCCGTTATGTTATATGGGACATTAAGACGAATTCAAATAGAACAAACGATGGCACTTTTATTCAAGTAATACTAAGTTTACAACAGATGAATTAGTAGAACGAAAAAAAGAAACAGAGCATCGAAGCGCGTCTTCTGCTGTTACGCGAATCATTGCACTCTTTTCATTTCAACTGATGCCAATTTAGTATTCTGTGAATAGAACTGTCGTTACTGGTTGAATTGGTCTTAATGTCCCCTACAATATAATGAGAAAACTTATACTTATAGTTCCATTTCAAAAACATACGGTTGCCTTGGATTCACTATGGAAAAAATGTATTTTCGAAATATTTGTTATTGTTACACACTGTTCGCTTGAAACAGATAAATTTTAGTTAATAACCTTTTTTATTACATTATTTCAAACAGCTCAAAAATCATGGAAACCGTTAGAGTGAACAGTCTGTAGAGTGCACTGCTATAATGTAAATTATGCAAGCACTAAAGTCTACAGACGGATTCTTATAAATTTGTAATGCTTTCATTCAGTTTTAAACACGTTTCATCGATTAAATTATAATGCCACAGCTATTCACACTCTATTCAGCTTTGCTTCCTCTCACTCGGTCATCTCTGTCTTCTTTAAAAGTAGAAACGAACTAACAATCAATGAAGCAATTATAAATTCATATCCATGGCTCTCTATAAATAGCGTTACAAAACCTAAACGGTGTGACTACAGGAAAGGCATATTCTATTTCTATAAAAAAGTGAGATTCGTCCTATAAATATTAAATTTCTTGGCAATTAAAGATTGAAACATTTGGAACATCTAATAATATCTATTTATTGCATTTCTTATGTAATTCATACAAAACAAAATTAAGTAAAAATGACAGCATGTGTTAAATGTGCAAAACATTGTTATAAATATTGTTATAACATTATATTACATTAACATTATCTTTCATCTTTTTGTTTCTTTCTCTATTCATCGGTCTCCCTTCCTCCATTTATAAATTTTTATATACATCGACTCCATTACCTACTATTTCTTTATTTCTGTAGAAGATAATATTGTTGTTCCTTGTCGAAACAAAGTTATACGAGCAAGTATAAACAAATAAAAATTTAATTGTTTCTGTCTAAATAGAATATTTGCCAAAAATACTTGTTATGGAATTAGTAGCTTTACAGATTCTTTGTAATAAAAAAGAAAGTGACATCGATTAGAATTTTTGTAAATATTCCTGAATACTGAAATGAATTAGTACAATTTTTCACATACCAAAAATAAAAAGAACAATAGATAATGCTTTGAAGGAGATTAAAAGACAAAAAAAAGACGTCAAAGAGCTTGCAGCGTAAAGCAAATAAACTTAATGGTTGCATATTTTATCTTGTCTCGCACCGAGTGACGGGTTAAAGCGGAGATGTTCGCTGTGATCTACGACCACAGTGGCAAACTTTTAGAGATTGTTGGAGAGGTCGTTTTAAATGAAAAATATTACGTGGACATGGTGGATGTGTACCTACTACTTTACTGCGCCGTTTAACATTAAAAGGCCACGCATACGTTCGACGATCCTGGAAGAATGTATTTAGTGTACATCGAGAGGGTTAAAGTCAAAGTCGTGTAAGTTCAAATTTTGAAAATTCGAATTAATACTATTTTAAAAATTTTAAAGGCATTATCTATTTGCCTTCATAATTAATTAAACTATAACTTCATTTTTTACCGAAAAATGGTAATACTCTTCTTGTCACTAAATAAGGAAGACAAACCGTTTAGAATCATAATGGTGTAACGTCAACCTTACGCACTTTTTTTTCCATCATTCCTTTTTCCATCCACCAATTCATCATCCCTTTTTCAACGCTATTACGAGTTCCAAAGAAGTACGAGATCATGGTCAATTTTCTGATAAAATGCATTGTTCTGCTGTGATGGTACATACTATTTCAAATATTAATGCTGTTTCCTATTGTTTTTCAATACCAATAAATATGACAAATTTTCGTGAAAAAGAAATAAATAAAAAAAAGCTTTATTTCGTAAAAACACCACTGTGCTTATTATTTTTACTAACTATTTAGAAATAGTGATGTAAATGTATAAAATCCTGTTTTGTACTTCAATTTTCATACACAGCCATTTTTTATTTATTTATTTATTTATTTTATTAAAACATCATTTTACGGGAAACAGCATAAGTGTGACATACACCACTATTATTCTAACCCCCTCAATATATACACTCCCGTCCATAAGTCGCTTACTTATTATTACTCGTTTCGTGGTAAATAAAAAACGAACAAAAGATGCAATTTTCTGAATCAATCCGATTGATTTATCGTATTTTCATATAACTTAGTGATTTTGATAAAATCGACGCGAAAGATTTGTAGACGTCACGTTGCAACGGACCAGGTTCAAAATGGTCTCAGAGTTTTTTACTCTGGACAACCAGCCGGGTAACCGCGGAAAAGTTGTACCGCTGCTCGTAGATCACCTCGTGCACCCACAAGTCTCATCGAACAAGGAGCAGATATCGGTCACCGAAGCCACGACCCGATTTATTTCGCGGTCCCAAACAGAAATTCGTCGAAAGTTCCGCGACGCCGCGTCCCGTGACAACTGACAAGCTGCCGCGAATGCTCGTGGCAGGATTTAATTCACCACACTTTGGTTTAAAAGCCGCACGCGAACATAAGGCACGCCCGGTTGCTTTTATTTCAGTTTCGTACACGGTGGCCTTCCCCGTCACGAAGACACGTCCCGTAATTTATGTCGATTTGCACTCGACGAGAGTAGGCAAAATATACGTTCCGGGAACGCAAGATTTGTGCGGGCGAACCATTTTTCCGACGTACGACACGCGGAAAATAAAATACAGATAATTGTTGTCGGGATTTGTTGCGTCTTTATCGAAGAAACCTTACCGTTTGTAATTGAGCTCGAAACACATGGCATAGAATAACAGCGCCGAATATGAGACTCCATTTATGGTTGATTAAATATTGGGGAATAGAAAGGAAAACAATGAAAAGTTTTTCGGTTATTATATTCGTCATTCATTTATGTATACAAAGAATTTTCGTTTCACAGGTAATGTTATTTACTATAAAAATAGAGAAAGTATAAAGGAATACAAAATTGGTAGTTTTAAAACACTGCTCCTAATATGAGTCCCTGTTTAAAATTAAAGATAAAAGTTAAAATGGTTGTTTAAAATTAAAAGTTACTTTTTTTTTGCCTTTTTAAGACAATTTGGGCGTATAAAGACATCTGTAGCACTTGGTGCATTGAACACACTATACACCAGCATGATCCTTAACCCTTTGCACTCGACTGTCCCCTGTGAAGGGAGAAAATGTATGGAAAATTAAAGATTCCGAGTGCAAACAGTTAGAATAGAGGCAGGAACAAGAGAAAAATTCTGCGTCGTCATCCGATTTCGATTCGGAAACTATCGGAATCTTGATAAGGACATAACAAATATCTCATACAGTGAACTGTTACGATATTGCCATGGTCGGGGTTATAGATTGACGTCGGTAGTAGTGATACGATAATAGAAGAAAAAAAATCGTAGACGTAAGAAATGAGCCGAGATAATAGAAGAAAAAACATCGTTTTTTCGAGCGTCTACACTAGAGTACCCTCTTAATGACTCGCTATTGCTGTCGACTATTACGTGTACACAATTTAGGGAATGAAATTTACACTTGGTTCTCCAATAATATAGATAAAAGGAGATAAGGGAGACGATGGTTTCCCTGGTATTCCCGGACAACCCGGAAGAGACGGTCAAAGAGGACCTCCAGGACCTCCTGGACCGCCTGGACCACCGTCTCAAGGGAATTACATTCCAGTTCCAGGACCACCAGGGCCTCCAGGTCCACCGGGACCATCCGGAATGTCTTTATCCGGACAAAAAGAGGATACGGGAATTGGCAGAAGTCATATTTTCGGTGAAAGAGACTACTATGGGGTCAGACAAGGTAAAATAATATAGATTTTAATTAATGTCGTTATAACAGTGTCTTCCTGTTACTCGATTATCAAAATTATTTGGCTAATGTTGTAAGAACAAATAATAATAGGGTGTCATTTGAATTGATCCCCTTGAATGTCTTCGAAACTGTTCATGATACGATGATGATGGAAGGGAAAAATAATTTGATACGAGTAGTTTTTCTGTGGCCGTGTACGTAGACGACATATGAAGGTCAAATTTGTTGTTTCCCACGAAATCATGTATTTTTTACAACTTTTATCTAAAACCTTTTTCTACATTATCAACGGTTTGGAACATATTCGAGAGGATCTATTTAAATAAGTCACCCTGTGTATTTGTATAAAGTTAGTTTTAATGAAACAATGAAGATATCGTTGAAGACGATGCATATATTTATTATATTTTGAGAGTATACGATTTGTTCAAAGAAATTCTGAACGAAAATTAAACATCGAAGCTTTTAACTGTAAATTACTTAGAATAGTTTTCTTCCAAAACGATATACTGTCTACAGTAATTATACAAACTCTGGGAATAGATCTTCAAAATGTCGGAGACGTCAGCTAGAAAAGTACGTATTTGAAATGTCTAAAATGACGACGATAAGAAGAGAAAATAGTCACAGCGAGAATATGAAAAATTATAAAAATATAAAATATAAAATTTTGAAATATGAAGATCAGAGAAATATAAAACTGAAAGGTTTCACATATAAGTAACTCGAGGAAAATGGTGTCGACCGTGGTTTATTCAGCCACATTGAAGAAGAAGTACCAATCATATTTCCAGTATTTGTATAACTGTTCTACATAAAAAGCATTCAATGAAAAAATACATTTTCTGTTTATACTGCAAGGACTCAGAACTAGTCTGGACGAATTAAAGGCTCTTCGTGAACTGAAGCAGCTGAAAGAATTAAAAGAGCACTTGGGTAACATATATTCAAATAAAATATTCTAGTTTCTTTTTGTTAAAGGAATAGCGTTCGTTTAGTACTAACTAAAAAAGTATATAATTTGAACGCACGTTTGTGAAATTTTATTTAAACTTCTTGAAAAAGGTCGCATAATAAATATCTGTAGATTTACAAAATCGTTGGCTAAGTTATTGCTAAGTCTCTGAAATATTACATTTGTAATGTAATTTTTAATGATTATAATAAGGCGCTGTCACCGCTGCAACAAGAGGTCCTTTGGAAACCACGACGAAGATTGTACCAGGAGCAGTGACATTCCAAAACACGGAAGCTATGACAAAAGTAAACATATTAAATTACGGAAACATCATATATATTTCGTTAACGATTAAATTTAATTTAAAACTCTCGTTATGTTTTAGATGTCTGCTGTAAGTCCAGTCGGTACGCTCGCTTACATCATTGACGAACAAGCGTTGCTCGTTCGAGTGAACAACGGCTGGCAATATATTGCAGTTAGTATGAGATCCTCATTTATCTCACATATCATATTTCCATGACCATGTTATTAACCATTAATTTTCTCAAACCTGAAGAACATCATTCTAAGAAGATTTACTTTTTATCATAATTTAATTACCTTTATGCACAATATTCCGTTTCAATGAAATCTTGCAAGTATCGTTCGAATTATAAATAAGCAAAAATTTCAAAGAGTCGTTATAATGCTGAGCTACAGTAAATACATCATGCGTATATCTGCTTAAAAAGGATAGACATATGGTTGTATAATTCTATCCCTCCACAACATCTGGATCTATCGCTCCCTCAAATAATCAAACCTAATATAATTACACTACCGCTCGTAAGTATTAGGACACCTGACCTGTGTGAAGAAAATCCGATATTTCGTAAATATTAAATATATTAGGCTACTTCTATTATTTTATAATAGCATAAACAGTGTCCAGTGAGCTTTAATATGCTCTAAATAATATTTAGTTCAGAGTTTTAGCCACCTCTTGATACTTATGAGCAGAAGTGTACATTATTTGAAACTATAATATAATATCCTAATTGCTTTCCAGGATACATCAACTTAATAGTTTATTAATGCTGATAAAAGTAACGGTATCTTCGAGCTCATTAAACGGAAGATGTAAGGAGAATCGATTTAATTAGAGATATTTATCTTGTACCCTCCAGCTGGGTTCGCTTTTACCTATAACTACACCCGCGCCACCGACGACGTCACCGCCTCCAGCGAATCCACCTTTTGAGGCTTCCAACTTGATCAACCAGATACCTGTGAAAGCAGACGGAACAGGGGTGAGTTACTATCTTAATCCTGTTGAGTGTAAAACATTATCGATAAGAAGTAAATTGATGTATTACCTAATTTCAACTGACTTTCCTTTCCGCTTCTAAGTGGTATCCTCGAATGGTAAGTCACGAATGGAATTAATCTTTTAGTATTACGTTTTACTAATGAATGAACATCTAGAAAATTAATCTTCTTATATTTTTCCTCTTATTTATCACCGCAATATCAATTACATTTCATTCCCTTTCTTCGTCAGAAAACTAGTTTAGAAAATTGAATTCTCGATATAACACACAGTTTAATTGAATTCATGCAAAGATATGTTTGACGACCCGTAAGGAATAAATTGAAATTAGATGTTCAAGCACGAACAAAAAGAACTGAAGAAAGGACATCAAAATGTATTCCTGTTCTTTTATATTTTCTTAGAATTAATGTATTTTAAGAATATAGAGTGTTTCTGAAATGATGGTATAACCCGACAGGATGTGATTCTAGTTGCAAAAATAAGCTGAAAATATGAAATAAAATTCGTATGATGCTTCGTTATCGAAACAATCGAATTCGAAAATCTGTTAGAGGCGCGTGCAATTTAATATGACTTGGCTACCGCGTCTGTTCATTACATTCCATTACTACTTAGTGGCAGTACGAATATATTATACATGCTGGATGAATTTTGAAAATTGATTGTCCTAAAAACAAAGCATCACACGACGAAAGTTTATTCCACATTTTCGACTTATTTTTACGTATAGAATCACATCTTTTCATACACTAGAAACACCCTGTACATTCGTAGCCTGTTGAGACATAATTCAAGATAATAACAAGAGTACGTCGGCTTTCGTAGGAACATATTTGCTCGTTCCAGTAAGCTGACCGGCTTATTTAAGTGGTACTTAAACTTTAAAATAGTGATTCTCAGTATCGGTTCTTTTAAACTAATCCTTGGGATTACTATACGGCTTCATCATTTATCCGATTGACTTGAAATTTCAGCTATATATTCGCAACAACCTAATTCATACTGTTTCGTTCCTCTAATACCTTATGAGCAAAAGCTAAAATGTGATATCATAGCTTCACTTATTAACATTATGACTCTACGACGATTCTCAATGCACTCTTATGAAGTTTATAAAACGATGTGAGACGAAAATATGGACACATAAATTGAGAATCACATCTAGTATGTAGCCATGAAACGAAGGGTTGGGGGAAACACATTCTAGTAAGTGGAGCTAGCGACTATGGCCAGACAACACATAAAATTAGGCCCCTCACAAAAAATTCAAATGCTATTTTATTTTAATATGATATTATAATGTATCATCGAATTTATCTTTTTATTATTTAGCAAAGCATCGGCATAGAAACACACATAATACATAACTATTAGGAGTCCTACTATTTTTGTACAAAACGTGACATTTGTTACAGATTGAACATTTTTCACTACGTTTATTTTCTGGTTTCGGATTACAATACATTTTCAACTATAACTATTTGTCGTATATGTGATTAATTTGCAAATTTGGTAAGGTAAACATGATGCACTGCCACCCCAATCCCTTAATCTCAATCCCAAAGAAAAATATAGGATGAGCAGAAACGCCGAGTATGACGTATAGGACAGATATCAAAAGTAGAGTTGTAGAAACAGTGACAAAATGTTTGAAATAAAATTTCATCAAGTATCACACAAAAACTGACGTCCCGAATGGTAGAACTCGTAAAAACAGTTACCAAGAATAGGTGGCTATGTCGATGAAAACAAAATACCTATAAGATGGTTAGAACATAAAATGGTAAATCAAGTAACATTACTAAAAAGTTGTTCAATACATTTGCAACGTTTTCTCGCAATTATTCCACACAGAGTATGTGTCGAAAAAAGTAAGTTGACATTCGTAGACTTTGAAAACAGAACATTAAAAATATCTTTATTATTTCGTCATCTTCTGGGACGTATAAAATATAAATTTTTCTTTCGTCGTTATTTTACGAAGGGAATAGTTTAAGCGCTACTTCAACCAGCGGTTATCATGGCGCATATGCCATATACGATCAACGTGTATGAATATTTTATTCCTGTGTGTGTACAAAAAAGGATTCTTCAAAGTGCATACTTTTAACATATCAATAAGAGACTTCAAAGAGCAGCTGTCTTCGATTAAAACTTCGAAAAGCATTTTATCTCCATAAAATCTAAAATATTAACCCTTTAAGCGGGGAAAGAATTTTTGCACGCCACACTATACAATACTTGATTCAGAAAGCTGGCCAAAATTCCAATTTTTAAACTCAATTAAAAGTAAAAAGTGTGTCTCTTTCTTATAATATTATTAAAAGTGATATGACAACCATTTTCATGACGTGAAATTGTATACGAAAGTATAAACCAAAACGGATATAAATCAACACTTCCCACTTAATACTAAACCTACCATACCCTTCCAAATTTTTTAACATTTAAACATTTTTTCATTTTAACCCTTTTTAAACATTTGACTGGTCGTAGTAGATTTAGTGTTAAGGAGTTACTGAAAACCAAAACAACCTGTATTATTGTACTGGTCAAAATATTTATATCGATTTAAAAGTAAAAGTCTTCAAATATTTTCTTACAAAAGTGTCAATGCAGCGATGTTATAAATACGAAGGTCGACAAAACTTATTCGCAGACATGAGAGTCTAACGGGTTAAAAATACATTCTTGTATATAAATTTTCCATTGTACATTTCACTTCATAGCATATGATATTTCAATCTTTTTGAAATTTCTAATTTATTGATATAATAGAATATTCCTACTTTCTATCATAACAATTATTGGGTGTACCGATAAGTAGCCCACTCACTTAACGAAACTAGTATTATGAAACGTGAGGATCTATAGTGTTCCATTTTTATTCATAAATCATAATGGTTTTCCAATATACTACACCATTTTTACTGATAGACTCGCAACTTCGGATCGCCAATTGTAATGAAACTTTTATACCATGTAGTAGACTTCTTCCTCTTCACAAATCACACCCCATATAGGGTCAGATACTCAAAAGTTTTTGAGTTATTTACTTTCGAAATTTTCCGGGTGACTTAAATGGAAGTTGTGTTGGCCGATCGTTCATATGGTTTCTGCCAAGACGGCCAGAATTGAAATGCATCCCAAATATATCCAAATATCTTTGGAAGGGATCCTATTTGAACTCTAGCCGTCACCGTAGAGACCTTGGACGTTGCCCCGACGCTGTAACAACAACGAATAATCGGGCAATATAACTTGTATTTAAGTCCCGTGAAAAACTTTGAAAACAAATAACTCAAAAACTTTCGAGTATCTGACCCTATATAAGCGGTGATTTATATAGAGGAAGAAGCCACTGCATGTCGGAAAGATACATATTTTTACGGACAAGTATATCGACTCGTAATTTGAAAAAATGGTGGATTAATTATTATCACTTAAATTAAACCTTGTCTAAACTAAAATCAAATTTAGGAAATATATTTACACTGCCGGCTATAATTATAAAGACACCTACTCTTTATGGAATAATTGCGAAAAAATGTTACAAATTTATTGCAAAGCTCTTAACTAATAAATTACTTTATCTAGTATTTTATGTTCTAAAACATGCATGTATTGAGTAATATGTAAAAATGTAATTTCCACCTTATAGATATTTTGCTTTCATCGATGTAACACCATGTTTCTCGATGACGGTTTTCATAAGTTTTGCCATTCGGGGCGTCAGTTGTGTATGGTATCTCATAAAATTTAATTTCAAATATTTTGTCACTGCTTCCACAAGTATACTTTTGATATTTGTCCTATAAATCGTACTCTATATTTCTGCTCATCCTATATTGTCTCTTTGGGATTGAGATCGGCGGATTGTGGTGGGCATTACATCATTTTTAACATAACAAATTTACAAATTAACCACATATATGACAAATAGTTACAATTGAAAATGTATTGTAATCAAATCTAAAAGATAGAGTTAGTGAAGAATGTCCAATCTGTAACAAATATATTTTGTAGAAGTACAGCTTAATATTTATGCCGAGCACTAAACATGTCGCTTGATCGTTATGTATATGTAAACTACTGGTGTTTAGTTACTCTAAAAGTTACTCTGATAAAGAATATAATTAAAAATTAAAGTCTGAATTCGGGTCAAATAGACCTGAACAATCCACGAGGGTTAATATTACATAAATGATTATCATTTTTAGTTACGAATGGCTGCTTTGAATGAACCATTCACTGGAGACATGCACGGTGTACGTGGAGCTGACTACGCTTGTTATCGACAAGCAAGACGAGCAGGTTTGAGGGGTACGTTTCGGGCATTCCTTAGCTCCAGGGTACAGAACGTCGACAGCATTGTAAGGCTCGGGGATAGGGACCTCCCCATCGTCAACGTAAAGGTAATGGGCAATCGAAAATATATCAACCTCAGAAGATCCATTTACACATTTAAAGACGAAAATAATTCTCCTCTAAATGTATACCCTCAACTACAAAATGTCCCTTTTCCATTCTTTAGGGAGATGTCCTCTTTAATTCTTGGAAAGAGATGTTCAACGGAAATGGAGCATACTTCTCCCAAATTCCTAGAATCTATAGTTTCAATGGGAAAAATATCCTCACCGACTTCGCATGGTAATTAAGCGCTTCATTGTTATAAAAAAAAAAAATGCCGTATTTGTAAAGTAAACAACGCCAGTATTGCTCGCTAGTGCCTTTTTAAAAAAGATTGAACAAAAGAAATTGACGGGATTTAGAAAATGTTATTCAGAAACGTTAAGAAAAATATTATTGAAATTCGATTTAATAGAATTTTATGTCTTGTTCTTAAACATTCAATTCAAGGGCAAAGCATTTGTAATGCAAAAGGACTTCAGCTAAAATACTGAATGCTGTTACTTTTATAATACGCGTTTGTTGAATGTTTATGAATTTACATCCATAATCCACAAGATGTTAAATCTTATCAACTTACAATTTCTGTTATCACAGGCCAGAAAAGGTAGCGTGGCACGGATCGCACAAATTAGGAGACAGAGCAATGGACACGTACTGCGACTCCTGGCATTCAAGCAGCTCTGATCGTTACGGTTTAGGATCTCCTTTAACAGGGGGACGCCTCTTAGAGCAAGTTCGTTACTCCTGCGACAACAAGTTCGCTCTGCTCTGTATAGAAGTGACCAGCGAGATCACAAGAAGGAGGAGAAGCGTCGAAGTTACAGACGACGAGGAAGAGATGTCGGAGAACGATTACAAGGAATACTTGGACGCTCTGATGGAAAATTAACCGTTCACGATATACCAAATAATAAACAAACCAATTCGCTCGTAATGCAATTAGAAATCGAGACGCGCTTGTTCTTCGTCGCCGGTTGATACACGAATGAAAATCAATAGAGAAATCGATTGAAACCACGGCACTAACACAGGCATGCGTTAACAGAGAAAGTCGTATCGAACAGTGACCGTCTCGTTTCTAACGAAAAAAAAAAAAATAATAATAAAAACACGTGAAGTCTATCTTTAACTCCAAAGGTTATAATACATAATCGCGAGTCATTAGTCAACGCTTTACACGAATTTCCGTTCTCTTTTTAACAAACAAGACTGATCGTCTAGACATCGTTCATCAGTGTGTCATATCTCTTCTTGATCTGTCGCTATCGGTATGCCCACGAAAATTCGTTGCTGAATCTCGTGGGTGAGCAAGTTAACTAGACATCATTGAGAGTCCCTGCATCACGATAAACGTCCAGTACATAGACCACTATTACGAGAGGAGATTCTTAAAGCCACGACGAGAATGCCCGCCACCAGTCATAATTTACCGTTAAGAAGTAAGGGGGAAAAAATGAAGCGGCGTACTTAAACTAATGGCTGCCGTGCGACCTAAAATAAAACGAAGATCATTATCGCGATCGAATTGCATTTACACTTTAGCCAGTATACATATGAGTGTGTATGTTAGATGTAAGGAAACGAGTTGATTAACAAAGATTCTGGGAGACCATTGAGTTTTACGAAACAAGAATCCAGATTTATGCTCCATGTATAATTCGCAATAAAAGCATTGCAATATACAGCATGCTTCTAAGAATAGTGAGATAGTTTTGAAGGATACATTTCAGATATAAAAATAGTTTCAGAAGTTGCTATTAATTTCCCTTTAATGAAAAATCAAACAAAGAATTGTTACATTATGTTATTTAAGTTGAGGTATTGGTTCACAATTGTAAAGTGTTACGGTGATTGAGAAATTAATTGTGTAGTATGCCCTTAATTCTTCATTATTGCTTTCAAAACGCCTATTAAGTAACCCCTGATAAATAGAAAGTTAATTAACAGTTTCGTCATCCTTAGAGAAAGTCAACTGTACTTAGTCTTCCATAGATTCGAAGATTTATTATTACATTTTGCTTTTGTGTATGTACTTCTATTTTGTACAGAAACTTTTCTGAATTAGGGTATCCAAAAAAGAAAAGGGAAGCTTTTAGTATCACTTGTATGATGTGGGTCCTGGTGGTTGTTTAGTGAAAGAAAAAACAGCTTATAATTGAAATGTTACTTCAAAACTTTTGAAACTATTTTTATATCTAAAATCTATCTTGCAAAAGTGACTCACGTTTGTAGAAACAATTTGTACAAGTTACAAAATACCAAAGCAGACAGAACGCAAGAAGGATCGTTAGAAATTGGCCTAACCAGTAACAGTTAACAAAGCTTTCGATACTACCAGCGTATACGTAGCAATATTTTATAACTTATTTATAGTTCGTTGGAAAACGGTACCATTCTGCGAACTGTTAACTGTCTAATCGTCATTAATATCTGCTTTTACATCGAGCATAAATCGAATTTACGTCAGTGTCTATAATTCAAAAATACGATACCACTAACATTAATCTAATTTATTAAGATTAAGTACAGAAATCATCGGTCTAATATCTTTAGGTTGTCAGCATGCTTGTTGGCGAATAATTCGTATCGAAAGATTCCCTTGATGTCGTACGTAGATCCTGACATCTTTATGTAAAACCAACCATCCTTCGATATAGTTTGCACCAACGACCGTTTTGTTTCGACATTTTGTATGATTTGTACACTTTATTATTGTCTTTCTAAATAAAAAACAAAAATTCTATTTATCGGAGTAGTGAATTGTATTGAATTTAATCAACATCCAATTTAATATTTTAGTTAGATGGATAATGATTCGACTGCAGAATTTATGGATTTATAAAATAATTAAAGTACAGAACGCAATAAAATAGGAACTTGAGTAATTGTTTCATAAAGTATTTTATACATATAATAAATCAATTTTGATTAACTCTTACTTTTACAGTGATTTATAGAAATTTGAATTTGCCTAAACATCTGTCAAATGTCATATACAACCCAAATAATATTAACGTTTTGACTAGAATAACAGTGACATATTATAAGAATTACTAACTATTGGCAAAAGAAACTTAAAAGTTTAAATATATTTCTGTATAACATTTGCAGAAGTAAATAAGGTATATAAGATACCTTGTACTGAATATTTGAAATAAATTTTTTGAATACTCGATAACCCTTTGCATTCGAAGCATATTTTGTTATCAAGAATCATCAACACGGCGAAATCATTTACAACAAACACAAGAATAAAACATGATTTCAAATATAACTTTTTTATTTCAACATTTCATTATTTTTTAGATTTCTAGGACACAACTTTAGTTATCGTCTGTCGGTCGCCATTCGAGTTACTGCAGTAAAGTAAGACGGCGACTGAAAATCGTCACTGAAGTGCAAAAACAGTTCTTATATCGGTTCTAGAACCGTTATTTTTTCGGCTCTCATATCGGTTCTGTATCAGTTATAATTACAATCATAATAATAGCATTCATTCTTACATCGGTTCTATTTCGATGTTTAAATTAATTTTCATCAATTATGTGTATGTTTAAGAACATGTCAGAAAGTCCTCTGACCCACAACGTAGTACCAGGACAGGTCTAATTTACAACACCCTGAAGTGTAATGAATCACACCCCCTCCTGGGCCCCGCAATGACGAAAACAACCGTTCGGAATGCTGGAAGTTTCTTATCCTGTTACAAATGTTTTTACGAAATCATTAGAAAACAGAAAATAGGAACTGAACAATTAGACATTTAAAGGAGTATTCTAGTGTGGACGCCCGTTTTCAATGTAACATTTGGGATATTTTTTAAAAGAAACTAACGCTTTTTGCAGTCGACGTTTCAGGGTATACTTATATTGTATACTTCAAGAACATTGATAATCATTTATGTCGAGAAAAGATAAAAATTGGTGATACTGCATACCTTTATACACAATCACTTATGAAAAAAATGATGTCCATGATTCCGGCCATTCTGCCTATCTGAAATAAAAAAGCCAAGACGATTCTTAATTAGGATTAGTTTGGCAATGGCAGGTGCGGTCTTGAGCCAATTGTTTTGTTACAGTATTCCGAGTTATATTGTATAATAACTTCTACCTTAATTTCATTGTTTTTTACTTAATAAAGTATATATATTTTGTTTTTTCTAAAATCACTGCTGTCCAGTATTGTTTTCTTTGAACTATATCCCACATTATTATTATTCGTTTTCCTTCTTCTCTTTCGTATACTTTTGTTTTCCATAATTTTGTCATATATATGTTTATTGTATATAAAATGGATACTATTACAACCGTAACCAGCACAGAACCGTAATAGAACTGATATAGAACTGACATGAAGACCGAAATAGATATACACGGAAACTTCGGTTCCTTGTAACAGTTATTCAGAATAAAGGATCTTTATAAACAGTTATTTTCGAAACAGTTTCAACCCCTGTACGAAAGGTAAAACATTGTAAGTAAATAGATACAATAAAGATCACGAATCAGTTTTCTTGAAATGAAAGTAAATGTTTTTAAATATATATATTAGCAGCAAATTTTTGCGACTGTAGCGTCTATGAGTACCTACGTTGAAACGTAAAATAATAATGAAAAAATAAGGCGTAAAGGTTCAATTTCTCTGAAACTATGTACAAGTCGCCATACAATTCTTTCATCATTTACTGCAAGGAGTTTATATCCACCAACTATTATGCTTTCTCTATACAGAAAACTATGGAATTGTATGTTCTGTAAGTTCCCTTTGTGTTCCTTGATTTCCCGAACTCCTTTAAATGATCGTTGAAAGAGGGCAGACTGTACGAATTACGTGCGTTACAGAGAAAAAGATGTTTCATCTAAACATCGTTAATATTATCTGTAACTAAGTAGATTAAGGTTCGGGGATACAGCACTTTAAGTACAAGTGAGTATATTATCAAGAATATTTATATATTGATACCTCAGTTATATTTAAATAATTGTTACTATTAATAGTATGAAATATGTAAACCATCATAGTTCGTAAAAAAACATCATTAAGAAAATTGATAAAATTTATCGCACGTAGTACTGTACAATTTTTCAAAATCCATTTTCATGTTAATACTCTCTTAGAAAGTAATTATGATTTTAAAATCGCCAATGCCTCCGCAAACTTTAAACCTTCTAAGATGTACGCTAGATTTTCCATCGACGCATCCACATCTTCTTCTGCCCAAATTTCTAACATATTTTTACATTGTTCGTATGATGTTGGTTTACCATGGAAGAATGTGATCTGAAAAAGATAATCATAAAACTTTGTTTTCTACTCATTTCGCAATTAACTTTATTGTATATATTTACATTTACCTCCTCACTCGTATAACCGAGTTTAGTTGCTAATTTCTTCCAATCGTTTTTTAATACGTCCGATAATTTTGCCACCATTTCAGACGTAATTTTTGTCAATTTTCGTGCTTTTGTATCCGTATTTTCTGGTTCAACCTGTTCACTCTCTTGTTTTAATACATCTTCATTAAATTCTTGATCGTTCGCTTCCGACGGTGGCGTTTCTTCGGTTTCCAATTTATTGTCAGATTGCGTTTGCTTTGATGGTTATAAATGATTTACTTAAGAGTTTAAATAACAACAATAACAGAAATTAAGAGAAGAGAAAAATATACTTACTGGACGATCTTTGGCAATCTTTTTTATCATTGTTTCAAGATACTCGGGTAGTTTATTGATAGGATAATTACCATGAACGAAAAAATGCGGACTACGTCTAGCTAACAATCTTAATGCTCTCCAACCAAAGTTTCCATCATTTACTTTTCTATGAGATAAAAAATTAGATTCATAACTTAAACGTATATTTAAAAAAAAAACAAATTTATACTGACTTGTACTCGTCTTCAACCATTGCATTAGGATCTAACTGCATAATGGCCTCTTCAAAGTATGTCTCTAAAGATGGTAAGAAATCTCTGTCTTTGGATTTACATGCTTCAAGATTATTAGGACACAGATTCCATAACTTTGTCAGTTCTGGACTACAAAGTATTCAGATTTCATTAGCTATTAAATGGAAACATAAACATGTTTAATTATGTCTATAAAAACAGAGTTACTTACTTTCCCATGTGATATTTTCCTATTGCTTGCGCATCTCTAATAACATCTCCAATTCTACGTCTAGGTCGTTTTGGTTTTTTTAATTCCTCTGTATCAGCAATTGAATCTGAAGCTGGTTTTTTAAATGGAGGACAACCTTCATTCTTCCATGCATTCCAATGTTCTTCGCGTTTTAGTATATTTTTAACAGTTTCAGCAAATGTTGGACCATCAGGAGGTGTTTCTGTCAGTAAGGCGTACACTTGTTCCGTAGTAGCTTTTGCCCAATCTACCTGATCAGGCTTCAGTTCATGTGTTTCACTTAAAAATTACAAAAGCTATTGAGACTCTGCGACATAAGTAACTCAAAACTCTATTTAAGGAAAGCAGACCTTGTCTCATAGCCACTGGCAAGGAAGCTTTGAAAAACAAACATCGTTTTATAACTTTCAAAAGTCATTTTACTAATAATTTATAAAGAATGTGCAATTCTATGAAGAAGTATTGTGAATTCAATTTTAATAAAATACACGTGCACAGAAGGTGAATAAATGTATATTGAAGGTACTTACGCTTTAAATTTTACAGTGCTATTAAGATACTGGAAGAGAATGAGAAATTGCAGCAGAACATATCGTCTAAAGTTTGAATCAGAGAGTTGCAATTCCAATAATTTTTGATTTGTCAGATATTTTGCAAAATAAGGTGTTTCCTTATGAGATCCTTCCATAGAAGAATCTAATTTAACAGATGTCGCAGGATAATTACGTTGCTCTTCTAATTTAAAAGATGAAAATGCTGACAGAACACTTGAAGCATGCTAAAGAAATATAAACAGCAAAATTTATAGTTTCCAGAATAAAATATTCTATAACTAAACTCCAACAATAATATTGTAATAATGATTTAAACTTACAGCTGAAAACACTTTCCAATACATTTTACTGTAACATTGATTTGGATTCCTAAAGAAATCTTGCAGTGCCCAAAACTTTCTATACAAGTTATAATCAATGGGTACTTTACTTTCAGATTCATCATCATCTTTAGTTATTTGTTCTAAATCATCACCCTCAGATTTTTCAGAACCAAATTCTGTGTAATTCTCCAAGTTAAATTCACTGACAATATTAAGACCAGATCTTTCAGAAAAAGGAAAAAATTTAGCAAGGAACAATAGAATTCTTCCGCAGAACACAGTCTGTTGTGACCGAGATAATCTTCTAAGTAAATCATTGCACATCCGCAATAAATTATTTTTACAAGCACTAAAGAATAAATCTTCCTTCCACACAACGACATTGTTCTCAACAAATGTAAAAAGTTGCTCACATCTGTCCAATGTCATAGAATCAAATATATCGCCAAGTAACATTACTGGCATACTTGCGGTTGCTAAGTCTTTTCTACATAGTTCAATGCAGAACGTAATGTACGCTTCAAGTAGATGCACATTGCTTGACACATTTTCAGATAAAATTACAAGAAGAGTATCCCTCAATGCTTGATCAACTGCAGCTTTTCTGTCATTATCATTTGCACAGAGTTCTGTACACTTCTTTTGAAATGACTGTATATCCGATGCTTTGAAACACTGTTGTAAATAATCCTAAACAATACGAAAAATATTTAAACTGTTTATCCGTATAACCTACAATTAATTATCAATGACAGTAATTCATAAACATAATTCTTACACTATATTCTTTCCTTAACACTTCAAACATAGCCATGGTGTGAAACAGAAATACACAAATTTATTGTAATATCATCACGCACTTTTCTTTCATTATGTATTGAGCATTTTGTACAGTATCAACAAACCTTCGTTTACAAACTACATGAAGTTTGGAATAAAAGATACAACGGCATGTAAAACACAAGTTATCCATATCATTGCAGCAAACTGAGGTATGACCTATATATATATACATAGACTACATAGTTGAAATGAGAACCAATGAGAACTCCCATACGCCATGATATTTATATCATGGTTTATGAAAAAAAGTAAGCGCAAATTATAATCAAATTGTTTACTGAATCCTTCTTACTCTTAATTAATACTTACTTTTTTACATATTTTTATAAATAGTGTAGTTATCTAATCTATGTCGACAATCAAATTAGTTTACAGATGTTTAAAAAAAATATAGCATGCGCGTGCAGAAATTACGAGAAAAATGTTTTGTAGTAGTTTTAGATTATCTGTGGAATCTCTCTGAATCGATATCGTGCATTAACAATTGACATTAAAAATAACATTCCATATTTCATCATTTTTATTACACATGAATGTATGGTAGTGTCATCTATTATGATAGATGAGTACAAATTAACTAATAAAATGGCGAGAAACCTGCAAATTTCAACACATTTCCCGCGCTTTTTAAAATTCAAATTTAGCGCTAAATTGAACTTCAAATTTATTTGAATGCAATTTTAACTAAATTTACCAATTACTATTTATTTATTACTGGAAAATATGAGATAGTGCAGTTATAGGCTTAATAAACAACACATATGTACCACTTAACTGTTTTTTATGAAAAAAATCTGATAAAAATACATAATTTACAATAGTATTTGAATAAATTTCATTATTGCCTTAAATAATACTTACATATACGAGTTTATAATATATTTGTAACTATATGTACATAAATTCAGTAAAACATGGCTTAAATATTATTCAGGCTTATAACAATAAACATAATTCCCTCTTTTCTAACTTGTAAATCTTCCGTACGATGTTCAAAGCTTCATATGTAATACTTTCATACTGTTCATACGTTTGTTCATTCATTACTATTTTTCGATCGGCGTTCGATTGTTATCAACTTTGACATTGACTTCGTCTGTAAGAACGAGAAATATATTACAGTTTCCCAGATCATGTTTCCCATCAAGTAAAGTCTGAATAAATTTAGTATTTTCTATAAACATGTTAACGGACATTTCATAAGTTATTTTTTAGATAAGTGACGAAATACATATATATTTTTGGCATTATGTTTTTTAAGTGTTACATTCGTCGTTTAAACTGGAGTGGTGCATGGTTTGTTCCCGCCAAATGGTATTACTCTGGGGATATACCGCTCTGACCAATCAGCTACTCGTGATTTCCCGAAGATAGCCGAATGAACCGCTTGGAACCAGCCGAATGTAACCGAAGTGTCATTTGTTTCGGAGAAGTTGACGCAATAAGACGTAGAAGCCGCTTGCTCGTGCCAAAGTAAGTTTTTGACAATTACCTTTCATCTTTATTCATATATATCAATTGCTAGTACCTTTATTAGTTCTCTATCGTTACTGTTCTTTAATATTTATCCTATTTAGACTAAATAATCTCAAATTAATACGATACCGTAGATATCGGTTTAATCTTCGGTTTCAGTGTGTACCAATTAATATAATATTTACGTATTTCTAATCCAATTTGTAATCTTTGCGACACACCACGAGTTCAATAATTGTTAATTTGTAACAAAACTATTCTTAACGTAGTGTAATTACTTAAAGTTTATGTTTATTTTCTGTTTCAGAGTTCTGGTTTGAAAGTACGCACTACCGTCCTGAGCATCGCTGACTGCATTCAAGCGGAATTTGGCGGGAAATTGGGGAACTCTGGTAATTTATTATTATATTTATTATAACAACAAAGTGATACTTCATTATATGTTTTTATATTGTTTTTAACCGTAAGTGAAATAATCGTGACTTCGTGGTTTGTGCTAAGATCAAATGAGAATTTTCTCGAGAAATTTTTCCAATTCATATATTTAGTTGAAGCATTCAAATGGCTTCATAGAATGTTATAAAATGTAAACGACAATACTTTGAGACATACAAATTGGAAATGTTTGTGATTTACGTATCTCGGTCGTGAAATTGTATTAAAATAGATTATAGATCATTTTTCCTGCCTTACCATATGACATTATTGTATTTGCATTTATATACAGTTTTGGGTATAGATTTGATTAATACCAGCTGCATAGTTTACCATGTTCTTTATCAAAGTATGCGTAAATAATGCAACTTTGGTACTTGTAATGATTTTCTGAATATGTAGAAACACAGGATATGGATTAAATAAAAAATATACATGATTGCAGCATAGTTATGTATTATGCTACAATGTAATTCATAAATATTATAAATTGAATAATTGTCGTGTTATATTTATTACTAATAATAATATTGAATGTAATAAATTTGTCTTGTTTTTTTTTTTCAGTTCTTTTAAATGTTGCATCATTGAACACTAAATCGGATGTCCTAATGTGAAGTTCCACCAGCAAAGACTGTAAACCTTTCTATCATCGGGTGAGTCTTTGCATGCCTTTTTTATTACTCCAGTCCCCAATCATGCCATAGGACAATTAGTCCAAAGTGGCACAGGCAACTGGTTGTATATATGCTTAATTTGGTGAGTACAGTGAATGTGGGTACGCTATCATACCTTTGAATAGTAACATTGATCAATTGTATTTCTTAGCTGGGTAGGATCTTCTTATACATAGCATTTTCTACTACTCATACAATTAATAAACATTTTATAATTGGACAAAGCAGTATTAATGCTCTTAATATTCAATGCCTATTCTTGAGTCCATTGTGTATATGAACCTCTATAGGCAATATATTGAATACATACATATATGATGAATGAAACATTAGTGGAGGAATGTGACAACCTCTGATTTCCTCCTTGCACAAGCCAATATAATCACACAATGGTATCCAATGAGAATATCATTGAATAGCTTGATCTAATTTCATATTTTATAATTTTCTTAATGACTGCATTCTATTAAATTAATAAGTACCCAATCTTTGTTTTTCAATTTTTCTTAATACAAAGTTGAGTCATTTTTATTGCATATTAAATGAAAAAGAATCAAAGGATATTGGCCTGTTAAAAGAACAGCAACTAATAAATTTTTTCGTCAGGATTTTGAGGAAAATTATCTCGTGTGCGCGGGAGTTTTTTCATTATGTATTTAGTAAATTAGTGTAGTGAACAGGAAGCACCTGTCGCATTTTTTAACATTCTCGAGAAAATTTGTTAACATTAAATAATTAATGTTGCGAGTAATAAGTACTCACATTAACAGTGGTACTTTGTTTAGTTTCAGGAATCGTTGTGGGATTAAATTTCTAATTTATCAAAATAAAATATCTATAAAAACGTGTTATTATACCCTTTTATACTTACTATATGTGAACATATTCTTTTGAGTGTCCTTTTCACGAATCAAGGTATCATCTAGTTACGGTTCACTAATTTAAACTTAAGTCAACATCTGAAGATGTAATCTTTGTGTAAAGATCATCTGAACATGTCTCCGCTTGAAAAATATGAGAAGATTTTTATTATTGCGAAGATCACATGGATATTTTTCTTCACGTGACAATCATCATGAGGCCCGTGCGAACTTAAAAAATAACTCGTCTCGTTGCATATGGGTTGATCGACTGGTAGGCGGTGTTAGTGTGTGGGGGGTGAGAGTCGATCTGTACTCAAAGTAGCTTTCTGTCAATAAATCGTGGCAATCGGCATTACGCTCGATAAAGTATTGTAAATATACCAAGCTATTAATATTTCACTTTCCTCATGAATTCTATACACAGACTTAGTATACGGGATTGATCCGTATACTAAGGCTGCTTACCGATCCCTCTGGATTCTCCGGAGAATTCAGACATCGGTCTCGTTTTACCTTTTTATTAACATTTAAAATCTCTGTTCAGATTCATTTCTGCATTACAAGATGATATAAAATTTTAATTACATTATATATGCTCATTGAGTAAACTTATAACATAGTGTGTTCATATATATCTACTGTAGTTTACACTTAATAATAGCTTGGTATTCGGTGCGTGAACGACATGATGAATGGTAACTCAATTCCGATAATCCCCTTCGTTCGAACGTATGTTTCTGCGTTGCGATTAATTTAAGTTGTTGTTGTGTGTGTGTGTGTTCGGCGCGAACGTACTAAGATTTAAGTTGATTATAACGAGACTAATCGTAAAAGGTTGATAGACGTTGAACTTGTGATTCCGTCTATCTTCCTCGGGTCTCCATTCACAGCAACCTCCACATGGTGAGACCTGGGCAATCGGTATTCGATAAATATACCTAGCCAATGGCTGCGAACAAGCTATTATTAGTTCACTTTGCACGCGAGTTCTTTACACGGACTTAGTATACGGCGCTAATGCGTGTAGGTATACTAAGGCTGTTTACCGATCCCTCTGGATTCTCCGGAGAATTCAGACATCGGTCGCGTTTTGCCTTGCCTGGCGTAGCTTCATAAGTATATTTGGATTGAAAGGTAATCGTGCCGCAACTGTTAATCGCCCTTCGGGAGATTGGTGCCCTACAGCGGAGACGGTTACGGTCTCAGCTTCTTCCATTGCAGATCGGTGTCCATTATTGGCTCCGGCATACGCTCTGGTTGGTCGCTTGGGCTTTAATCGGTCGAGTCATTCACCAAATAGCCAGAGGAGATTTAGGGGGCTTTTTTTGTAGCCAGGTCTTGAAGGCACGTTTTGAATCGCGAACTCTTTACACTTTGCTCTCAGTATACACGTTCATACAGTCACGTTCATATGTACATATATATTTTTATTTCATTTTTTATTAACATTTAAATTCAATTCTACAATACAAGATGATATAAATTTCTAATTACATTGCATATGCTCATTGAGTAATCTT